AGACATCTCCTTCTCGAGATTATCTTCTCGAAGTCCTCGAGATTCATGTGTTCGACCTCATTTTTAGGCATATCTCTTGCCTCTATTCATGATTCTATTCAGTATCACCTCTCAGTTATTAATTCTCGAGATTTGGAGTTAATGCCTCTCGTTCAGAAGTGTGCATTATAGTCTTCGAGCAGATCCTTGTTCTGCCGGTTATTGACAACACACCATTATATATGAAATAGTGGGAATCTCCACAACTTCTTCTTCTATAATCCTCTCAAGAAGTGGGGCACTCGCCTTGATATTTCTCTGGTGCAGATTGTGAAGATCATCACATGATGCTTTCTCGATTAAAAGTCTAGACTAGTGACTTCATCTTCCTCAGACTTCGATGTCAATCATTATAAGTGATGTGCACATCGAGAAAGGTACGCGCTAGTGCTTTTATCACTTTAATCTCTCCTTAATGCTAACCTGTCGCAGGTTCTCAATCCCAGTCAGTTTTTTCCAAACTTGGGGAAGCTATATACTTCACGTTATCAAGCCTACCCTATCTCCAGACATCAAAGTATAGGCTTGATAAGGGGCACTTGACAAGTCCAAATTAGTACGGCCCGTGCCTAAGCCGGCCCAAGTTCGGTGAAAGGTCCAACCAGCCTTTGGAAGCTTCTAGCTTGGTTCTTAATTACTTTTCTACCAAGAAAGGATTCCATAACCTAGCTCTATAAATAGGGATCAACCTCTCACGATGAAAGGTACGCTTTATGCACCCAGTTTATACCCTAATTACGAATACTCTTACTGACTTAAGCATCGGAGTGTCTACCCTCAGGAGACCCCGAGGCCCTCGTTTGCAGGTTTTAGGATTTCGATACCACCTTGGCCGCCGGAGTAACCAACCGGAGACATCGGTGAAGTTCCATGCTTCGTCATGAGTAAACTGAAATTTTTCAAAAATCATTTTAATGGTGAAGATATTTCTCAATGTATGGATAATGATAATTTGGGATTGTAAAGAAGAGTTTCTTGAAGGGAAATTCAATCAAATTGATGACACATATCTATATCAAGTCGACAAAGCTCTGCTCGAACGATTCATTGAGGATGAAACAATTTCTAACTATGTTATAACAAATTACTGATGTTCCTAAATCTTCATAAGTAAATCAGCCTTAGCAGCATTCAACCGAACTCTATCCTGAATTACACCCATTGAATCGTATACTCCTTCAAGATCTTGGACTTTCTTCTCAGCCGCCTTTAAATTAGCAAAAACATCGCCAAAGGTTTCTTTATTCCACTCTTTTAATTTAGCCTTCAACCGATGCAGCTTTAGTGAGAACCTCAGTATACCAAAAGCATCCAATGGCTGGTCCCAGTTTTTTTTAACCATAGCAACAAACTCCAGCCTCCTCAACCACATTTTTTCAAATCTGAAAATCCTCGGTTTTCTGGTCACTTGGACATCAAACAAATGGAGCATTGGGCAATGATCAGAGGTGGTGCAATTTAAATTCTCAAGTGAAGGAACTGGGAACAAATCATGCCACTCCGGAGTTATCAAGACTCTATCAAGCTTCTTACTAACCCATCCAGTTTGGCGAGTTCCCCCTCCCCCCCATGTAAACTCTTCACCAATCAATTGAATATCATCAAGATCAGAGGTGGTGCAATTTAAATTCTCAAGTGAAGGAACCGGGAACAAATCATGCCACTTTGGAGTTATCAAGACTCTATTAAGCTTCTTACTAACCCATCCAGTTTGGCGAGTTCCCCCCCCCCCATGTAAACTCTTCACCAATCGACTGAATATCATCAAGATCGCATTCAAAAATGCATTCATTAAATTTCAAGATGGCTGCCAAGTCTTGAACCGAAGTTCCAGAATATTCATCCAAGGTGCGAATGACATTAAAGTCCCTTCCAATCATCCAAGGAGCCGAAGGGTGGTGCTGTCTAAATGTTATCATGTGCTGCCACAATAAACGCCACTCCACTTTAGTTGACTTAGCATATACAGCTGAAAGATAAAAAGTACCATTCACCAAGGCGTTAGTAACTTCAAAATGGAGGATTTGGTCCAGATCCTCCAACAAAGTGAGCATAAAGCCATGCCTACTAAATACCCAAATCTTGCTATTTTCAGAAGAAAAAGCATAATCAAAGCCAAACTCCCTTCTAACAACATCAATCTGGTGGTGCGTACCGAGTTCACCAAAAATATTACTAGCTTGGATTATGATTTTTGTAGATAATGGAAGCTAGATCGATCCCACGAGGACAGCTAATTACCAATTTTGTTGTAAAGAAAGATTACCAATCAGACAAGGTGTCACTCAGGGGAATGAAAATAGTCACTCAGGAGAATGGAAGCCAGGGGTGTTCTTCTCCTCTTCTTACTGTTGTAGTTGTTATTAGACTGTAATGGTTGAGCTCTTGTTCATTCAGCTCACTTATAACTCTAAGTCAGTTCTCATTTTTCCTAGAGTCATCCTTCCAACCTTAACAATCTATTTTCCAATGATTGATTCCAGATCCAAAGTCATTAAGTTCTTAGGCCTTCAAGAATGCTTATGTTAACTAAGAATATTCCTATCTTAGTTAAAACCATAGACTGTTACCTCTATGTCATAAGTTAAAGTTGAAACAATCCAAACCAAGTTTATCTTTCCAGATCTCCCTTAGTTCTAGCATGCATTCAATTTAGTGATCAAGTAAATGAATGTAGAAAAACTTTCAACCTTAAAACAAGAAACAAAACCAGTGCATTGCAACTACGACATAAGTTGAGGAGAATAACCCCTGGAAACTGTTTAGCTACTCATACAGATTAATGCTACATCTACTACATCAACAGACATCATAGAAGTATGCATAATAAACAAAGTTCAAGCTAACAGTCAAGAGATGAGAAAAAAGCTTGTGCAGTTTTTGAGCCACTCCTGGGAGTGAAAGGGTTCACTCATGGAACTGAAGCAGAAACTGGGTTGGCTACTCTTCAACTTGGCTTCCTTACTGAGTTGTTGCTGCTTCTTCCTTCTTGCCTTCTACCTAGAGTTTTTTTGTTGTTTTTGGCAACTGAAGGGTAACCAGAGATTGAGATAGAGATATCCCTGTCTTCTGAGAGTGCAGTTCCCTCTTTTATAGGGCCTTGTAGCCGATTCTTTTCATCATGAGAGCCTCCCCATGCTTGTAATTGTTTAATCCTCCCAATGCCTTGAGCCTGGAATCCAAACTTGGCTGTTCTTCTTCTCTTCTTCCAGAAATGGCAGCATTGCTCTCATTGATCAGCAGGGGAGGCTGAAATTTTGGCTGGGGGACAAGCATGCTTCTTGGAGGCGACATGCTCATTAATGGCAAGATGCTTCTTGTCTAAGGAGGTGCTTCTTCGTCCAGCTCAGCAACATTTGCCTCAGCAACCCACAAATTGTTCCCTTGACCTTAATTTTTTAGCAATTTTGCAATCAAAGCCAACCTAACAAAAACACAAAAACTGGTTAAGTAAAGAGCACTAATAATAGGAAATACCCCCCAATTTCTTGCTAATTCAGAGTTAATTGTGATGCTTTTATGTAACAAATAAACCATTATCAACTCCCCCAAACTGGAAGAATTGCTTGTCCTCAAGCAAAACAACTAAACTCTTGTTGGCACTTTCAGAATTGCAAATAACAAATAGGGGAAAACAACATTGTCAAAATGACTGAAGACTGGCCTACTCCCCTGAGTGAGGATTCCCACTCAGGCAGGTGACACTAAACAAAGCAACAACCTTAAACACAACTAGATAGGTGTTGTCAACCTTTTGTCTCAGATTCAAGTGAAGCAAAAATACATTTAAGGATACCAAATCTTTCTGCAATCCAAAGTCAAACAACCAACCTTCACAGGGAATTAGAATGTATATGCCACAAGTGTTAGTTCATGCCAAACCTACCAATCCATTCTAAGTTAACCGGTTAAGCTTTTGGTAGTCATTCTTGTGATCTGGTCTTGCCCAAGTTACTTGACTCGATTTACCTACTGAGGCTTTAACCGTGGATTTCCTACACAGCCTTTCTGCTTTCTCTTCTTTTTTTTTCAGTGGGAATGTGGATGGACCAACCTAATAGGGGTTTTATTCAACCTTATCTCTCCACTGCCTTATACCTCAACCCTTATTACTCCAACAGTTTGGAACTTTTTGTGGTGGTTCCTTGTTGTTACCCCTAAGGTTTCAGTTGATCCATTCCCTAGAAACAACAATTTTTTTTTTTAACAAGCAGGCTGTGAATGGATACCCCAAAGGAAGTCTCAGATTTATGGCATCTCTCATCTAATTGTAGCTCAGAACTAGACACAGCTCACAACAGTGGATTAATCATGCCAAATTTTTAAACTTTATGTTCCAGGCAGTCACTTCCACGAGTGGCATTGTTCGTGTGTGTGAGTGAGTGTCAGCCATTCTTTCCTTCATACATCAGACTCAGTATCAAAAGTGGTTTAGCAAAATTGTTTTTCAAAACCATTATGATCCTAGACTGTTGACAGCTCCTTAGAAAATTTTCATTTTTGTGAGATATTTTACAGAGTCGATCTAGACATGAACCTAATGGACCTAAATGACAACTGTCCTGACATTGACCTAACCACAAACTGACTAACCTAACCACAAACTAACTACTACATTACTCCCCCAAACTTATTCTAAGCATTGCCCTCAATGCTTAACAAAACAAACCCGGCAACACACATTAAACAGAAAACAAAGAAAAATACAGAACTAACGAGAAATTCATCATTTTAACAGGAAAAAAAATAAATTGCTGATTAAGGGAAGTAGAACAACACTTCCCTGAGTGTTCATTGATGCATGCCATGGAGTGGGTGGATTGGTGGATCATGCGGCATTGGGCAGTTTTCAGGGCATCCAATGCACTTGTGCATTTCCTGTAGGAATTTCTCTGTCCTCATCTGGCATTGGTGGACATAATCCAGGATGAACCTGGTCTGTTTGTTGAAATCCCTCTGCCTCAATTGTCCAGCTGGAGTGGGAGTGGATGTTGCTTGTCCTGAGGATGAGGCACCTGTAACTTATGCATCCTCAATGGTTGCTGGAAGTTGCTCTCTGCGTATGTGTGTAGGAAGGTCACCCCTGCCCTCTTGCAAAGCATGGTGATCATAACTGGAAAATACCAGCTCTTCACCTTTGGATCAGTGATGCATCGGGTGAGCTGATCTCGGACGACTGAGGCTACATCAAATGGTGTGTCCGTGACAATGGCATACAGCAGCAGAGCCATCTCATAGGTGACCTTAGCGGTGTAGGATGTTGGCATCAGATTGCAGCAGATGAAACGGTGCCACAAATTTAAATAAGGCATTTGTAACGCGTTTGCTGGAAATCCCAGAGAGTTTTCTTGATCATCCATCTCCCAACTCGTGCCTTCTTTTGCCAATCTAGACAGAATGGCATGTTCCAGTGGTTGATTTGGATGTAGGGCAGCAAGGGTTTCCCTGTAATTAGTGCTGATTCTTGGTAACTTCCAGATGGCCCTGATAGCTTCTGTGCTGCAATTGACACTGATGCCTCTGACAAATACTCTGTCTCTGGGGGCGGTGTGGAAGTTGCCATAGAATTCTTGCACAATCTGGATCCTAGGCTTGACAGGTGGGTTGGAGAAGGTCCCCCATCCATGGCGCTTGATATAGGTGAAAGCTGAGCCGTCTTCACCGATTCCTCTTTCGGTAATAAATTTCCGGCGTATGTGCTTCAAAAAGAAATCCCAGCCCTTCTTTCTTGGAAACAACCTCGGCTCCCACTCATCGGTGATGGCATTGAGGGCTTGTTCTTGCAAAGCCCTTGGTGGTTGTGGAGGCGGCGGTGGAGTAGGTTCTCTGGCAGGGGAGGTGGTGGAGTGCGCATTCTTTGCCGTTCAGGAGAGGGCGAGGATGAGGAGGATGATATCCTTCTTCTTGTGTTGGAGGCGTTTTTGCGGGCAGCAACCTTCCTTCTTGCCGGCGGCATCTTGTACAAACCCTAGGGATTGAATTGGCAAATTGAAAGAGGGATTTTTTTTATTGAATCTGAATTTTTGCCTTAGTTGCTGAAAACTCGAGAAATTGTCGATACGTTCACACGGGAAGTGGTAATTGAATAGGTGGTTCTGGAAATAGGGAGAAGATGAAGAAGACGAAGCAGTGGAGGAGTTGTGAATTAATGCACAGCAGTTAAAGTTTTTGGGGGAGTCATGGCTGACTCGAGTGACTCAAAAAAAAAAAAAACGGACGCGGTTAAAATTGAATTTTGAAAATTTCCGGAAAAATTTTCCCCCCAAACTCAAGCCATAATTACAGCTCAAAAAGGTGAGTTTTTGCAGAAAGTGTTGTACAGTTGTTCTTACTCAGGCGAGTGGATTGTCCCACTTGCGTGAGTGACGTCAGGGTTAGAAGACTTACAACATTACTTTCCCATAGGTTCACTCGGCTGAGTGACCTTCGGCTGAGTGACCTCCTAGGAGTGAGTTTACCTGAGGCCTTTTATGTTACACTTTCTGAAATCTGTTGGGGGTGGCAAATACCTTGTCCATTCCTGCAAAATTAAAATAGCACATTGTTAGCCACATAAAAGCAAAACGTCTGGGTTGCCTCCCATAAAGTGCATTGGCTTTAAGTCTCATGCCAGACTTCAAAAGAGTTCTCAGTTAAGTTCTTTTAGGACCAGAACATGATAGTTCTGTCCTTTACTCCCTTCTGTCCATCCAAGGTATGGTTTAAGCCTCTGACCATTAACCAAAAAGGTGTTGCCATTCTGTGGATTCATGATCTCTACTGCTCCTTGAGTTAGGACCTTGTTGATTCTGTAGGGACCGGTCCATCTTGACTTCAACTTCCCTGGAAAGAATTTCAGTCTAGAGTTGAATAGCAGTACTTCTTGTCCTTCTTGCAGATCCTTCTTGACAATGTGTTGATCATGGTAGGCCTTAGCTTTTTCCTTATAAAGCCTGGAAGATTCATATGCCTCTCGTCTGAATTCTTCCAGCTCATTCAACTGTATCAATCTCATTTCCTTGCCTTTGCCTGGATCAAGATTCAGTTCCTTGATAGCCCAGTAAGCTTTGTGTTCCAACTCCACTGGCAAGTGGCATGCTTTCCCATAGACCAATTTGAACGGGGACATAGCAATGGGAGTCTTGTATGCTGTTCTGTATGCCCATAAAGCTTCATCCAACTTTGAGGACCAATTTTTTCTAGTAGAGTTGACAACCTTTTCCAGGATTCTTTTCACTTCCCTGTTTGACACTTCTGCTAGCCCGTTTGATTGTGGATGGTATGGTGTTGATACTCTGTGCCTGATTCCATATTTCTTTACCATGGCTGCAAATGACTTGTTACAGAAGTGTGATCCTTCGTCACTGAGTACCATCCTGGGTGTACCAAATCTGACAAAAATATTTTTTCTTAGAAACCTGAGAACAGTCTTAGCATCATTATTTCTTACAGCTACGACTTCTGTCCATCTTGAAACGTAATCCACTGCCAGTAGGATGTAGGAGTTCCCAAAGGATGACACGAAGGGACCCATGAAATCTATCTCCCATACATCAAACAGCTCCACTTCAAGCATGTTCTGTTGTGTCATCTCATTTTTCCAGGAAATGTTTCCTATCCTTTGGCACCGGTCACAGCCTTTGATAAATTTTTTTGCATCTCTGAACAAAGTTAGCCAATACGGTCTAGCTTGCAGAACCTTGATTGCCGTTCTTTGACCGTTGAAATGTCCACCATAGGGAGAATTGTGGCATTTATGCAACACCTCTGTGAATTCAGATTCTGGAATACACCTTCTGATCAATTGGTCTGCACATCTTTTGAATAAGTAGGGTTCATCCCATAGGTAGAGTTGAGCATCATGCAAGAATCTCTTGCGTTGTTGAGGGGTGAGATCTGGGGGAATAACACCAGCAGCAACAAAGTTAGCAAAATCTGCAAACCAAGGCCTGTTACCTGTCACTCCCATGAGTGTGCCTGTCACTCGCCAGAGTGACTCATCAGGGAATTTTTCTGAAATTGGAGTTGTGTCTTCTGGAATTTCTTCAAGTCTTGACAGATGGTCTGCTACCTGATTCTCAGCACCCTTTCTGTCTCTTATCTCCAAATCGAATTCCTGCAACAACAACACCCATCTAATCAACCTAGGCTTAGACTCTTTTTTGTTGATCAAGTACCTGATGGTAGCATGGTCGGTATAGACTATGACTTTCATCCCTAGCAAATAAGCTTTGAATTTTTCAAATGCAAATACAATTGCCAGCATTTCCTTCTCTGTAGTGGTGTAGTTGATTTGTGCAGGGTTGAGGGTTTTACTAGTATAGTAAACCACATGTAACACCTTGTTCCTTCTTTGTCCAAGTAAAACACCAACTGCAAAATCACTAGCATCACACATTAGTTCAAAAGGTTGTGATCAATCAGGTGTGATGATCACAGGTGCAGTGATGAGTTTCCTTTTTAGTTCAGTGAATGCAATTAAACAGGATTCATCAAAAATAAAAGCAGTGTCCTTTTCAAGCAAGTTACACAAGGGTTTAGAAATTTTTGAAAAATCTTTAATGAACCTCCTGTAAAAACCGGCATGGCCTGAGAAACTCCTCACTCCCCTGACTGTGGTTGGTGGGTTGAGCCTCTCAATGACTTCAATCTTTGCCTTGTCCACTTCAATTCCTTCCTGTGAGATTTTATGCCCCAAGACAATTCCCTCGGTCACCATAAAATGGCATTTCTCCTAGTTGAGGACTAGGTTTGCTTCTATGCATCTCTTCAATATCAGTCCAAGGTTGTCCAGACATGCATCAAATGTCTTACCAAAAACCGAGAAGTCGTCCATAAAGATCTCAATTATGTCTTCCACCATATCAGAGAAAATGGCCATCATACATCATTGAAATGTTGCCGGTGCATTGCATAGTCCAAATGGCATTCTCTTGAAGGAAAATGTGCCATAAGGGCAGGTGAAAGTCGTCTTCTCTTGATCATCAGGGTCTATGGCAATCTGGTTGTAACCTGAGAAACCATCAAGGAAACAATAATACATAAATCCAGCCAATCTATCCAACATTTGATCAATAAAAGGAAGGAGAAAGTGGTCCTTTCTGGTAGCTTTATTAAGCTTTCTGTAGTCCATGCACACTCTCCATAAATTGTTCAGCCTTGTGGGGATCAGCTCCTGGAGGTCATTCTTTATCACCGTGATTCCTCCCTTCTTGGGCATGCATTGCACTGGACTCACCCACTTGCTGTCAGATATTGGGAAGATGATTCCAGCATCCAGCAGCTTGATAATCTCTTTTTTCACCACTTCCTTCATGACTGGGTTGAGCCTTCTTTGTCCTTCAATGGTTGTCTTGGCATCGTCTTCAAGCAAGATCTTGTGCATACATATGGAAGGACTGATGCCCTTAATGTCTGCAATTGACCACCCAATGGCTTCCTTGTGCAATCTCAGTACTCTCAGCAATTTGTCCTCTTCAGTACCTGTAAGCATAGAAGAAATGATCACAGGTAAGGTGTTACTTGCTCCAATATAGGCGTACTTCAAATGTGAGGGCAGAGGATTAAGTTCGAGATGAGGTGGTTCTTCAATTGAAGGTTTGAGGCATCTTCCTTCCTTAGTCAGATCTAACAGACAAAGGGTTGTTGTTTAGGATACCACTTGGGTGAGTGGTTCAGGTAACTCAGGCAAGTGGCCCTGTACTCGTCCCCCCCTTCTTGTTCCTCATTATAGTCTGGGCACAAGAAGTTCCTTGAGGAGCTCATCTTGCAGTAATTCTTCTGTTACTGCTCCTTTTGCTTCTACACTTCTTACCATGTAGCAGTTATAGATTTCAGCAGGATATCTCATATTTTTGAAGATCTTGAAGGTAACCTTCTCTCCATCAAAGTGCAATGTGATTTCTCCCTTCTTCACCTTAATGATTGCATCACTTGTTGCCTGAAAAGGTCTCCCCAGGATGATGGGCACATCCCTGTCTTCTTCCATGTCCAAAACCACAAAGTCTACTGGGAAAACAAAATTACCAACCTTCACAAGGACATCATGTAAGATTCCCTTTGGGTAGGTCAGTGACCTATCCGCCAACTGCAAGGTCATGTTAGTAGGTACCAGAAATTTGTCCAAATCAAGAGATTTAAATACAGAAAATGGCATGAGATTTATGCTTGCCCCAAGATCTAATAATGCTTTTGAAAATTCTCTGATTCCTACTGTACAAGGCAGAGTGAAACTACCTGGATCTTTCAACTTAGGTGGCAATTTTCTCAGGATAGCTGCACTACATTCTTCATTTAGAGTGACAAAAGCAGAGTCATGCACTTGTGGTTTATTGGCCACCAAATCCTTCAAGTACTTGAAGTATTTAGGCATTTTTTTAAGTGCATCAACAAGTGGTACATTAATATGTATATTTTCTAAGTTTTGAATAAACCTGTTGAGCCCTTCATCCATTTTGACCTTCTTTTGTCTTACTGGATATGGTGGATTTGGAGCTGGTTGTTGAGGTTCCTTAATTGGTGCTGGGAATTGAATTTCCTCCACTCCAGGTTTTTCAACTGTTTGCTCCTGTTCAACCACATCATCATTATCAGATATTTTCTCAGAAAATTTTTCATTCTTACCTGCAGGGTCACTCACGGGAGTGACTTTTTCACTTGGCTAATTGAGTTGCTTTCCACTTCTAAGAGTGACAGCCTTTGCTTGCTCTTGGTCATTCCCCTTGGGGTTTGCAACCGTATCACTGGGCAGGCTTCCAGATGGTCTTTCAGCATTTTGTTTTGCAATCTGGGCCAACTGATTCTCCAAACTTTTGCAAGACACCGCCAAATTCTTGATTGCTTTTTGCACAGAAATCCATTCATCTTCCCTTGGTATGTACTGCTGGTTAGAATGCTGCTGATTCTGACAGTTGGGAGGTTGACCATCTTGTCTGTGAAATCCTGGGGGTTGAGTAGGCCTCTGATAGTTTCCTTGTTGTGGTGCATTGTTCCAGTTAGGCTGCTGTTGATTTCTCCAACTGTTGAAGTTGTTGAATCCCCCAGCATTGCCCTATTGACAAACTGGACAGCTTCCATTTTGGAGGAACAGTCATCCAAACTGTGGGATCCATCACATAATACACACACTTCAGCCTTGGATTTGGACAACTCACTCCTGAGTTTAGTCATTTCATTCATCATAACAGCCATTTGTGCTTACAGGTATGTATTGGGATCAAGTTCCATCACCCCTGGCTGTTTTGTACTTGTCCTTGGATCAGATTGCCATCTTGAATGGTTGGTGGTCATATTGTCGAGCAACTGCCTTGCTGCATCAACCGGCTTCATCATAAATACACCACCAGCTGCAGCATCAAGGGAGTCTCTTGTAGTTGGTAGCAGTCCATTGTAGAAGATGCTCAGTTGAAGATGCTCTTCCAAACCATGCTGAGGGCATTTCCTGATCATTTCCTTCAGTCTTTCCCATGCTTCATAGAGTGTTTCTGTTCCATGCTGCTTGAAGTTCATTATTGTTGTTCTGAGTTGTGCAGCTTTTGCGGGTGGAAAGAATTTTCTCAGGAAACACTGTCTTAACTCTTCCCAAGTGGAAATAGAGTTGTTAGGTAATGTGTTGAACCATGCTTGGGCGTGATCCTACAAGGTAAAAGGAAATAACCTCAGGCTAATGTCATCATTAGATAAGCCTTGAATTTTAAAATTACTGCATAAACGCAGGAAACTTCGGATGTGATCATTAGGATCTTCATGAGGTAATCCATGGAATGGGCAGGCTGATTGAGTCTATTGGATCATCTGTGGCTTGAGCTCAAAATTGGTTGCTTCTACATCAAGGAACACTAAAGGGGATTGGACTTCTTCTTGCTGTGGGATGAAGAAATCTCTAAGCAATCTCTCTGGTCGATTTTGTTGATCCCCACCAGGGTTCCTATTGTTCTCCGGGTTACCACCTTGGTTAGCCATTTCTGATGAACCTTCTTGGTTGTCATGTTGCAACCGGTTCTGCCTTCTTCTTGCTGCTCTGGTTCTACGTGTGGTAGCTTCAATTTCTGGGTCAAAAACAGGTTCACTTCGTTGGTGCCTTCTAGTCATACACCAAAGAAAAGAAACTGGAAGCTTAGCGAGGTAACCGGAGAAGAATTTTATATATGTACAAACAAACAAAAACATCAAATTTTTTTGGAGGTTTTACGCCGTCCCCGGCAACGGCGCCACTTTCTGGTGCGTGCCGAGTTCACCAAAAATATTACTAGCTTGGATTATGATTTTTGTAGATAATAGAAGCTAGATCGATCCCACGAGGACAGCTAATTACCAATTTTGTTGTAAAGAAAGACTACCAATCAGACAAGGTGTCACTCAGGGGTATGGAAATAGTCACTCAGGGGAATGGAAGCCAGGGGTGTTCTTCTCCTCTTCTTACTGTTGTAGTTGTTATTAGCACTGTAATGGTTGAGCTCTTGTTCATTCAGCTCACTTATAACTCTAAGTCAGTTCCCATTTTTCCTAGAGTCATCCTTCCAACCTTAACAATCTATTTTCCAATGATTGATTCCAGATCCAAAGTCATTAAGTTCTTAGGCCTTCAAGAATGCTTATGTTAACTAAGTATATTCCTATCTTAGTTAAAACTATAGACTGTTACCTCTATGTCATAAGTTAAAGTTGAAACAATCCAAACCAAGTTTATCTTTCCAGATCTCCCTTAGTTCTAGCATGCATTCAATTTAGTGATCAAGTAAATGAATGTAGAAAAACTTTCAACCTTAAAACAAGAAACAAAACCAGTGCATTGCAACTACAACATGAGTTGAGGAAAATAACCCCTGGAAACTGTTTAGCCACTCATACAGATTAATGCTACATCTACTACATCAACAGACATCATAGAAGTATGCATAATAAACAAAGTTCAAGCTAACAATCAAGAGACGAGAAAAAGCATGCGGTTTGAGCCACTCACGGGAGTGAAAGGGTTCACTCATGGGCCCAAGCGAAAGCTGGGTTGGCTACTCTTCAACTTGGCTTCCTTCTCGAGTTGTTGCTGCTTCTTCCTTCTTGCCTTTTACCAGGAGTTTTTACGTGTGTTTTTGGCAAGCGAAGGGTAACCAGAGATTGAGATAGAGATATCCCTGTCTTACGAGTGCAGTTCCCTCTTTTATAGGGCCTTGCAGCCGATTCTTTTCATCATGAGAGCCTCCCCATGCTTGTAATTGTTTAATCCTCCCAATGCCTTGAGCCTGGAATCCAAACTTGGCTGTTCTTCTTCTCTTCTTCCAGAAGTGGCAGCATTGCTCTCATTGATCAGCAGGGGAGGCTGAAATTTCGGCTGGGGGACAAGCATGCTTCTTGGAGGAGACATGCTCATTAATGGCAAGATGCTTCTTGTCTAAGGAGGTGCTTCTTCGTCCAGCTCAGCAACATTTGCCTCAGCAGCCCACAAATTGTTCCCTTGACCTTAATTTTTCAGCAATTTTGCAATCAAACCCCAACCTAACAAAAACACAAAAACTGGTTAAGTAAAGTGCACTAATAATAGGAAATACCCCCCAATTTCTTGCTAATTCAGAGTTAATTGTGATGCTTTTATGTAACAAATAAACCATTATCATCTGGCTACTAGAAACCATGGGTTCCATGATAAACAAAACCGAAACCTTATACATATTTGTCAAGATTTGCAAACGCTATTGAGACACTTGATTTTTTATTCCTTTAATATTCCAAATAAGTTGACTTAACATGAAAAAATTAAGGGGAAAAAGAACACATTACTGCAACCTAAGTGATCGTCTAAGGATCACCCCTTTGAGCTGCTCCATCTTTTCGGCTTTTGATTTCGGGCCTCTTTTACGTGACACCTTGACATCTTCATGAAATAAACCCTTATCCGTATCATTAATTAGTACATTTTCCATATCCCCCTCCGACCAGCAGGCATGATTTCCAATGTCAGACTCCAAGAAATCGAAGTTCATACCAACAGTTCCATCATCCGAAGAATTCCCAATTCGCAAAGGGTCTTCACTGTCCAACCGTTGCAAAGCATTTTCCACTTCAACAGAGGTGGTTTTTTCAATATTTCCAACATATACATTTTCAATCTGAGCATCTTCTTCCTCTTCTACATCCTTACAGTCGGCCTCATCAATCATACTCAACAAAGCAAAGCGGTTATCACTCCGTGCCTCTAGGGTTTTTTGCGGTTGCATGGTCTCCAATTGTAACACCACCTGTTGGGGAGAGGTTTGGAGCGTTACTACTGGAGGGGGTTTATGTTCTACGACAGAGATTCGAAGCAATTCTGGCAGAGATGGAGGTGGTGCTACATCATTCAAACAGGCATCAAAGCTCATAGAGCTAGGGTTTCCGCAGGCTTGATCGTGGCCTGTGACTAGGGTTTCTGCAATACTTCCTTGCTGCGACATTTGGAGCTTGGGGGGAATCGCGAACGTCAACGACTATAGCTGCCTTCTCCTTCTCCGTCAAACCTGATGACAAACCAACTACAGCTGAATCACTTTTCTTCTGAACAATCTCCATTGGCTTTTCCGGAACCCTAGCGTGCGACGGGGGAGCTTGCAGCTGCGCTGGTTGCAATCCCTTCTTTCCATGATCCTCCAATTGCTATTTGCCATTCATCCCCTTCTTCAACGGCAATCCTTGACTTTGTGACCAATCTTGAAGCACTTAGAACAATAGAAGGGAACATGTTCATATGTGAAGAATTGCTCGTGTTTTCTTCCTCGTTTACCAATTTTGGAAGCTCTTTTGTCAAATACACCTCCACACAAAATCTAGCCACCGAAGGTCGAGTCATGTTCAATGTGGGGGCATCAACCTTCAGCGGCTTTCTGATCGCCGTAGCCATTGAGAAGATAACCTCCGGGTTTAAGAATTCAATGGGGAGATCACAAAGGGAAACCTAAATTGGTACTATTGGCGGATCCTCTTCAAACTTGAAACCCGGTTTTCACTTGAGAATTCTCACGAAAAACCCAGCTACATTCCAGAACATTCGCATCCAACAACGTTGATAGTTATCTTCATGTTTAAATCGAATCAAAATATGCCTAGGGTTCATCAACCCTAGGGTGTATGCTCCATTAAACCCAATTTTCTTGAACTCCTTATGTATTTCCTCCATTTTTGGTCTTCCGTATGCAAACTTGGCCAATCAAACTCATTTGATGAGGAGCAATCAAATGCTCGTATTAATCATCTTCGTATTCAAGGACCGGAGTTCTATTAATGAAAGAAACCGGCTTGATGAGCGACGGAACATCATCTGGTGGCTTACGAAAACAACTAGCAAAGGTACGAGGAAGCTCAGTGGGGGCTTCCCCGGGTAGCTCTCCGGCCGTAGTGGCTAGAAAATTTGATCGAGATTGAAGCGTAGGGGAGGAGCGGGAGAAATTTTTGGGGAGAAAATTTTGGGTGTTTTCAATGCCTTCATTAAAATTTCATCACCTCTAACACCTCTTTCTTTCATGCATCTTTAAAAGAGAGGAGAGGATGGCAAGGGATCTTCAAAATTCAAGCTGAAATGGGGATATGTTGACACGGCCGTTGGATATTGAACAAGAGGCGATTTCCTTCTTCTCGGCCTTGTTGAATGACAATGATGTTGATCCGCTTAGAGATGAAAAGCAAGAGATGTTTGTTGATCATATTCCACATCTACTTGATAATGGTGATGGGAATGATTTATTGAGGCCTGTATTGCTTGAGGAAGTCAAGGAAGTTATTTTCAATCTTAGTGAAGATAGCGCTCCGGGTGTGGATGGCTTTGGAGGATTTTTTTTTATAAAAGTTGTTGGGGAGTTGTTGCGAATGATTTGTGGCAAGCTTGCCAAGAATTCATGTTGGGTGTCTCTATTCCTAGGTCAACCTCAAGCACTTTGATCACTCTTATCCCAAAGAAAGTTGTGGTTACTTCTTTTGCGGATTATAGGCCTATTTAGCCTCTGTAGCTTCTTGAACGAGGTTTTTACTAAAATCTTGACGGATAGAATCAAGATAGTGCTGCCAAGAATCATCTCTTAGGAGCAATCCGCCTTTTTGCATGGGAGAGATATCATGGATAATGTGTTACTAGCTCAAGATCTTTCCCAATTCTTGGGGCGCAAAGCTGAAGGTGGGAATTTTGTGCTTAAGCTTGATATGATGAAAGCATTCGATAGAGTAAGGTGGACTTTTTTGGAAAAAGTGATGGTGAAGTTTGGGTTCCCTACACATTTTGTTGCTTTGGTAATGAATAACTTGAGGGATGCTTGGTTCTCGGTTATGATTAACGGATGTCCGGCTAGCTTTTTCAAGTCTTCTCGAGGTATCAAGCAAGGAGACCCTTTGTCCCCTTATCTCTTCATTCTTGTTTCAGAAACAATGACAAGACGCCTTAAATCTCTAGTTGCGGAAGGTAGAGTGGCTGCCTATGGTACTCCGGTTGGTTACTTGCCAGTAACTCATCTTGCCTTTGCAGATAATGTAATCATTTTCTCAAGGGGTGATGGAGTGTCAAGCCACACAAATAAAATAACCTACTTCAAACTACTGTAATATAGGGAAGTAAGGTCGTCTCCTCAGGGAACGATGGATTGTTTCCTTCAAATTAATGCAAAGGAGATTTTTGGATTGTTTTTCTAAACTAAGATAATGAAATACAAATAACAAAAACTAAATAAAAGAAAAGAAATCAAAGTAACAGACTTCTGACTCAAGGAACGGATAACTCAATTATTTCATTAATCATAGGCTACTAAAACTACTCTTGCAATTTAAGCATTCAACCAAATATCTATTAGGATAGCCGTAATAAATCAATTAATCTCCCTAAATTAACTAACCAAGCCTAGCACTCAATTAATCCTTATCATAATTCAGCTGGGCACGATAGCGTTTCATACCAAACAATGATAGCATAAAAACCAAGGAAATATAGTTGAACCAAAATCTAAACAATTGAGATAGCTACAACTATTCAGACTTTGACTCATTGATTCCACATTTAAACTAACATGCATATTCAATGTCTCACCAATACACATGCTTTGTCTAATTGCTACTCAGTACTGCCAGTTTTTGTCTATTACGTAACATTCAACTAGCAGATAGCACGAGAAAATAAATAACAAATCAAGTTGTCGATTTGAATGATATCTACTTTCATAACTCAATATAAGAATCAACAAATACTTAAATCATAGGAAGAACAATAAATTAAGAACAAAACCTCATAATGGAATAATTGAATAAATCCTTTGAATCAGAAAGAAAATCCTTAGCCACTCATGGATGGAAACATGGCGGTTTTATTTTCTATGAAAAATAATGAAAGTTCGGAAAAAAACAAAAAGGTGGGAGGTGCTAGCTTTTTTTCCTACGCGCGGATGCTCCTTACAAAACCATGGCCAAAAACGTAACCCACGACTGCCTCTTTAAGAAATTAGGTCAGCCGCATAAAACAAGAAGAATTAGTCCACGATTTGCATCTTTGGTCCCTCAAGTTTACAGTATTTTTATTTTTGCCTCAAAACTTCTTTAATTTTGCATTTAAGTCCCTGGACGTCCAAATTAACCCAAATCAGCTCCAATCTCTTATTTCCAGCTCCTAACATGGAATAATAACAAAACCAATGAATTAAATCCATCCGAGTCCATAAACTAATAAAATATCAATAATTAAAACACAATTTATGGACTCTATCAAATTCCCCCACACTTAAAGTATGCTTGTCCTCAAGCATTAAAGAACATAGGAATTCTAAACTTTCTCTTATTCAAGATGCGCCTTAGAAACTCTAGCACTCAAAAGAAATCATGGTAACAGTGAAAAGAAAATTCACAACCAAGTCAAATACATTATGTACTTTTACCCTTTAGCCCTTTGTGTGTGAATGTAAACCATTCTCTAGGGACATCACTATACACATAGCATAAAATACAAAAATTCAAATACAAATATGCCACTGAAGAGTGAACTTAGGATCCCCAATTCAAACCGTATTTCAAGCAATGTTACTCCTACAAATATTATGAAATCGAAGGCTTACAATTACACCTCACATTATACAATTCAACGCACTTCCCTCATACCCATTCTTCAGTGTCCATATGGTTTTTCTTCAGGATCTTTCCCACTCAGGCCCCTACCCAGAGCATTTTTCCACTTGATTTATGTAGTGATTTACATAGTAGCTCAGCAACTTAGGGCAGTCTACTTACTCATATTTTCTCACCGACGGGCCTGAGGACACTCTGCTAGTTGTTTGCCAAACTTCTAACCTATCAATGGGCTAGCATCAACATTGAATGCCCTTCCTTTTCTCCCTCTTTAAATTGTACCTAATCTCAGAAAAGCATCCGCCAACAACCCCTCCCCCACACTTACTTAGTACAAAGTACTTTAAGCAAGAAGGTAAAAAGGCTATTTTCAAACCACCACTCCCCCGTTATTCGAGTTTGGAGTGATGATAGGGTTAATGCCTTATTTTCTTGATTCCATAATATAGTAAGGTCCCACATGCAAATGGTACAAATAATGAATGAATCAAATCAAACTTTGGCATATCACATGAATTCAGGCAATTACACATACATGTTAAGTTTATCCCAGAGTTATGAATAAAGTGCGCAAGTAAAGTATTCAGGGTATAACACATAATGCATAGACTCAAAAGAAATTTTTGTCCCAATGTAATTAGATTTCTTAGAGTCTCAAGTTAAGTTCATCATCGGCTATTTTTGGTATTTTTTCATTTTCTTGATTTTTTTTCATTTTTCAACTTTTTTCTCTTTTTTTTCCTTTTTTTTTAATCATATAAGCAAGCACGAAAATAATAAATGAAAAAGAAAGAAAAAAAAAAAACTAAACACAAATAGACAAGAACACCTAAAATTCCCCCCACACTTAAAACAAACATTGTCCGCAATGTAGCAAAAGATATAAAAAAGAAGAGGAAAACTTCCCTGAAAAATGTTTTTGGTGATGCTGGTGCGAAACAACAATTGACGAACGATGATAATAGCAGTAGAAGCTAGCCAATGATCCAATTGAAGTTTGGTTTGCCCGATTGCAACTTTGGGATTTAGGGTTCCTGGAAAAGAATAGAAAAGGAAAAAAACAAAAATAAAAATAAAAATAAAATATTTTTGGGTTTTTTTTTAAAAAAAAACGAAATAGGGAATGTCATGTTAGACGTGATCACGTCTAAGGCGTCGTTCGAATCTGCCCTGGACAATAAAACAAGCGTTAAAAAAAGAAAAAAATTCAAACACTTACTTTCTTAGGCATAATCACACCTAAAAAAAAAATAACACTTGCAAAAATTAATCCAGCAAACCTAAAATGCACCTGTCCATGATCATGCTTACAAAACACTATTTTTCTTAAAACATTAAGCACACATTAAAATTCAACTCCAAATCACAAAACTAACTAATGAATCAAACACAACATAAACTTAAACATTTTGGGTTGCCTCCCAAACAGCGCCTTTCTTTATTGTCTTTGGCTAGACCAATTAAACGCGCCTCAAGGTGGAAATTTTGAAACTCCACCTAACAATGGAATATGATAAAACCCTGAGCAAATTTCAATAAAATCAAAGTTAGATGGACTGGATTCATATTCAAATGCAGATATAGAATCAGCAAAATGAGGTGAAAAATAATCCCCCCTAACAGTTTCTTTAAACACTCCACATCTATCTAGTCTTCCTAAAATTACATCTATCTTTAGTCCTATTTCAGGAGGTCGAGGAAGATGTCCATATGCACAATCTAGAGATATCGGTGGCGGTTTTGACTCTAGTATTGGAGATTTCCATTCATCAATAATATCAGCAATAGAACATGGTAGAGTAAGTATAC